ATTATAAAATTATAGTCAAAAGGTACAACACAATAAACACTTTATCCTCCGCTATCCAAAAAGCCTCCTCCATCAGAACTGGAGCCGCTTCCAGTAGTTTCATTGTATGGCAAATTGTAGTACGCCAACGAGGGTCAGAGCACGTCCATTGCAGCAATGGACGCAAAACGTGGTCAGCACTCACACACTCATCACGAAACGGTTGCTTTCCAAAGTCAACGACGCATCGACCGAAATAACTGCTAATGAAGAACAATGAGGAGGACCACACAATGGTTGCTGCCGAGAAAACAGACGATCGCGTAACACACATCCAGAGTGGCCTGCTTTTGTCGACAGTCGAGTGAACACTGACGAAGATACTTCTCATCGTTCGTTTCTGGCACAGTTAACCGTGAATGATTGTGTGTTTTATTCATGTATTTTATACTCAGTTTTTATTTTTTGATTTACCTATATAAGTTACTTAAATCATCATTGGGGCTATACACAGCCTGTTGATGCAGACAAATAAATAAATAAATAAATAAATAAATAAATTTCATGTGTACTTCTCATATCCATCAAAAGTAGGGCTACCCCAAATAAAGCAAAAAAAAAGTTATAACTGACAAAATGACAAATGAAAAACATCGCACGGATTCAGGTCGATGTTTTCTTTTCGTCGTCTTGTCAGTCCAAACTTTGTTTACTCAATTTGAGGTACCCTACTTTGACGGATTTGAGTAGATCCTACTGAAATTTGGGTTGTTTAGAAATAGCGTGTGTAGCATGTCGACCCTTCATTTCACGTAAAAATTAACAATTTTCCTACACGGTGAGAAAAAAGTACACTCATAAAATAAATCACATAACCAGTGGAAAATATCCATGTGAATTTCACATAACTTTCATGTGATCCCATAATTGGAAATTGCACCACTAAATCACATGAACGTTTTGTGTCCAATGAAATCTATATGGTATACCCAACCCAGTTCACTTTTACTTTTTTTTGGCTAGTTTGTCTCCTTTTCTCCTTCTAATATTGTCAAAAACGGAGGAGCAAAACCACCCAGCAGGGGTAGTAAAGTGTGGGAACCCAACGTTGAGTATAATCATATTTACCTACTTTTGGGTACAACTAACTTACTTTTGGGTAAATAGCTAGGGGAAAATTCCATAAAAATTGCACCCAAGTTAATGAACTTTGACCCGCTTTACCTACTTTGGGTTCCTGCACTACCGAGATGAGCGAAAAGAACTCACTTTTGGGTACTTTTTTCTATCCATGTTCGGAATTTTTAGTGGAGTGAAAGAATAAGAAACAATCTGCTTTGTTTCACGAAATTCGACATTGGCTTATGGGGTTTTCCAATAGGAGTGAACAGTTGCAGAGTCGTCAATGAAGCGAATGGTTTCACCTAAAGAGTCTGAATTTATAAACATGCGACATGTCAAAATTGAAACAATCGTTCATCTGTCAAAGTCATAGGAAAAGTCATTCTAATTGTGCAGAAGACCTGTCAAATGGATAAGATGTCGTCTCCTAAATTCAGGCTCTTTAGTTTTACCAATTCCAAACCAAAGTTATCAAATAAAGTTCGAAGTTCATAATTAAGAACTCGTCTCATAAAGTACGTCCCTAAAGTTTGGTCCATAGTTTTGATGCGCAAATAGCGTTAAATCTTTTAAAGTTCCGTTAAGTGTGAAAAGTGCGATATTGAATTATTATCCTAGCATGTTACAAAAACGGTAAGTCCTTTCAATTTATGAAATTATTACGTTTTTTGATGACCAAAGCGGTGGTAGATTTTCGTTAGTACAATAATACCGTAATATCATAGAGGTAAATCTAAGACTAGAAGGTTCCGAAGAAATGTGCTCAACTTTTTTGGCTCAGCTCTGGTACTTTCTTCGGTCCCAAGCTAAGCCACGAACCCCTCATTTTATCTGTCAAACTTTCATATCAAATCAAAACAAACATATTGTAGTACTAGAATTTCGACTAGAATGGGGTACGTTAATCGATTTTCTTGGGATCAATAGGCTATTCAAGTAGTGAGCCTATTTAAAATCGTTAGTTTCCACCGGTTGGTTATGGCGCTTAAATATCGAAAAATATTAAAAAATCACTAAACTTTTTCTTCGAAAGAGACCAAAAAATGGTCAAAATTTGTCCCAAAAATAGGCAATTCAGTTACGGATTACAATATAAAAACATATGTGGTATTAGTTTTTCACTACTATTGCTGAATGAATCAGTAATTTGCTTGATAAGTCGAAGTGAGGGGCTAGGCTGACATTACATCCCATAATGGATATTGAGTGGGAACGATTATCGAATAATGCTACGGTAGATCAGATGCTATCAGCTTTCTACGAATCTCTCTCAGAAGTTATCAACCGTCATGTACCTCGAAAAAGACAAAAATCGATATCTGTTTTCAACCAACCGTGGTGGACTCCTGAGCTACGTAACCTTCGTAACAATGTACGTAAGATGCGCAACCGATATTTCCTTACAAAAACTGGGTCTGACAAAGCTAGACTCCGTGAGCTTGAGTTGGAGTACAAAGTCATTCTTTCTGCAACACATGAAAACTATTTGCTCAGTATTCAGTCAACCGTCAAGCAAAATCCTTCACGCTTCTGGGACTTCATCAAGAAACGGAAAGGTGGAAATGGAATCCCTGGCTCAGTCAACTTCGATGGAACTACTTCTCGGTCAAGCTCAGAAGCAGCCAATCTTTTTGCTACTTTCTTCGAGAGCGTGTTTAGTAAAGCATCACCCGTGCAACGTCAAAACTGTTTTGAACAGATACCGTCCCATAACATTAATCTACCGTGTATACAGTTTTCTCCAGACGAAGTACAGAAAGTTCTCGATGAGCTTGATTCAAAGAAAGGACCCGGAACAGACAGCTTGCCTCCTGTGTTTTTGAAGAACTGCGCCGCTACGCTGGCGACGCCCATCGCTGCTGTTTTCAACCGTTCGCTCCAAGACAGAACGTTCCCAAATGACTAAAATATATACGTACCCTAATTAACAAAGCACAAGCAATACAAAATCTCAAATTGGCCACTAAATACTACAGGGGTGCACCAATAAACAAAAAACAAGTTGCAATAGAAATGAAGAAAAAGGCAATAAACAAATAAAAAGCATCTTTTAATAATTTGAATGTGAGCGGTAAAAATGGCAAAAAGGGCAATAGTAAATACAATACGCTCAATTAAATAAGGATGAATCTCCACTAAATTAGGAAATTTGAGCACTAAATAACTCACTTTCGTCACCTGCAGTTGAAGATATTTTCCCATAAAAGTGGCAAAATGAGCAATGTCATATTGAATAACCGCAATAAATAAATCTAAAATGTCCCACACAAAGCGCACAGTTATCACTGTTTTAATCCAATTATGCTGTAAAATCGTGATTATTTCCCCAAGAAAAAAATGAAAATATCTTTTAAAAACTGAAAAAGTTCCAGGAACCAGAAGATAAATGTATGCTTGAACATGAGGATGAGCCATCGTAAAATATGAATCGTTCTTAAAGAAAAGAAAATAATTCATGCAGGAAAGTAAAAATGAGCAATTAAAAAGGAACACTGCGCAATATAAAATAAAACAAAATTCCAATGATATTCAGGAAATATTCCTTTAAATTGAAAGTTTATGAGCCAATAACCCAGATCAATTTCCATATGGTATTTTCAAGACAGCAATAAGTAGTGATACTGTGTCTTGGCTAACAAAGTCGATGTCGATAAAGAAGATTGACGAATGGGGGCCTCATTGAAAAAGGTACCATTAAACAAAATCAAAAGAGCACTAAAAACAGCTGTTTGAGCAATATATACGTCTCAAAAGAGCACTAGAAAATGCCATTTGAGCAATATAAAGGTAAAAAAAGACACAAAAAGCACAATTAATGTCCCAGGGAAAATTTCAAAAACGCTCAACAAAAAATAAGAAATGAGCAAGAAACGTATAAAATTAGCACTCTGAAAAATAATTTGAGCAATTTATAGGCCATGAAGGTCACTAAGAATGAAAACAATATCTTTTGAAAACCTGCAAATCTTCATCGAACCATAGACAAACAGACATAACACTCGCATCTTGTACTCCACAAGTCCAAAGAACTTTAAGGACATTTTTTTAGTTTTCAGAAAAGTTCCATATTGTTCAAGAGAATTAAGTTAACATTAGGGAAGCTCTGAAAACACCAGGACACATCAATTCAAGGAAATTTCTGAACCTTTAAAGAAGTTCCAAGAAACTCAGTAAATTTCCGAAAACTTCACCAAAGTTCATGAAAATTTTTGAAACGTAAGGAAGCTACATGAAACGTGTTAAGGGTAGTTCAGAGAACTTCAGTGCTGATGTTCCTTTAATTAAAAAAAAAAGAACTAGAGATGGTTCGAATTTTTCAATTAAGTCCAGGGACTTTCAAAGAAGATAAGAGATTTTCCGGTAGTTTAATTATAATCAGAGAAGTTTCGAGTACTTCGGGGATGACTTCATAACAGCCCCCTTAACTTCAGTAAAATTGAAAGAACTTTCAAGGAGTTCCGAGGAATTATGGAATATTCCGAAGTGCTATTCCAATTCACCTCAGGAACTTCCTCCCAGTGTCTTCAGAAAGTTTCTTACGTCTTCTCAAGAAAATTCAATTAAAATTCTACTGGATGTATCTATTGAGTTCTCTCAAAAGTGTCTTTCGTCTTTCTCTCGAAGTTTTTCCATAAATCATCCTCCGTAGGTTTTTTCGACTTCTATTGGAAGGTTTTTCCGAGCTTCTCCTGACTTCCCTGGAAATGGCTACTCCTGTTATTGGCTTCCAAATTCCAAATCATTTCTGGCTTCCTCTGGATGTGTCATCTGATTTTTTACGAACGTTTCTAAAAAAACTTCCAGATGATTCTCAAAATTTGTCTTGGAAAATCCCCATCGAATGTTTTTCCTACATTTCTTAGAACTTCTGTTGGTTAGTCGGTCCTTACCTCTTTCGATATTCGGCAGTGGAGACGTCAACACTGATTGGGAAATACCGGTTGGTTTAGTACCGCCCGTATGTTGCTGCTGATGGCGTTTTGGGGGAAGCGAGGTTGCGAGGAAGCCAATTGCTTACTGGTTAAAATGGGGTCACACAGTCCTTTCAATCTTTGGTCCGGATATTTCTGGCTTTAACACTAATGAAACACTCGCGGGTTGGGTTTTGAATTACAAAATTTACACAAAAACTACATTCATTATATTAAAACCACATATACTACATTGATTACTCTGACGACATTTAATTGTATATTAATAAAAATGTAGCTCTTCATCCCCGATGGGATACAACCGTTCTATGCGGCGACCGAAAACAACTGACTCTCGTCTCCTGATCTGGTCATCGCTTGACCCGTGACCGCGTTTGACCAAATCTCCCTCTCACGTTCTCCGTCCGATCGGTCCAACTTCGCTTCGAACAGTTCTGGGCTCTTCGTTGGTCATCATAGCTGCTGCTCGATGTCCGCCGACCGTAACTACCTAGCTGACGATGATCGCTATCCCTTACGTGTTACGTACCGGATAATATACACATCTCGACTCGTGTGACACTTGTGTTTTGTTGAAGATCAGCTGTAGCAGCGATGGTGATATTCCAGTGTGGTAGTATTCTGGGTGGTTCAGTATCGCACATCCTCACCCAACCAGAAATTTAAAAAAAATCTGAAAAGAAATAAGAGAATCCCCTTCGGAAGGATGGGAGTTTTGGAAGGAGTTTGGATTAGGGTTTACGACGAAAATTTTTTATCTACTTCATTGGTTGGAACAGGAAGAAAACAAATCTTTTCCACTGGCCGTCTCAGCTCACCGGTAGCAGTCTTAATGATCACGACTCTCGTAATGTTGTCTTCGTCAGGGTGCAGAGCTATGATTCTTCCCATCTTCCATCGGATCAGAGGGAGATTTTCATTCTTGATGATAACGGACGAGAATTAAGGCAGGCCTCAACCTGCGTAAGTAGCGTTGTAAAATCTTCCAACGAAAGTACTGCTTCTCCGATAACCTTCAGCAAATGTTTCTTGGAAGATCGGACAGCTGCCTCCCAGAGTCCTCCAAAGTGTGGAGCACTTGGCGGATTAAAATGCCATTGAATATTGTCCTTGGCGAGTTCGGTAGTAATTCGTTCGTTATGTTCTCGATCTTCCAGCAAACGGAAGAGTACTAATAATTGGTTCCTAGCGCCGACAAAATTTGTGCCATTATCCGAATAGATATCGGAGCATTTTCCTCTTCGAGACACAAATCGTCGCAAGGCTTCAAACTTCCTCCACAACAGCTATTTTATTCTTTGTCTGAAAGTTTGTTTTTTCGGTATCAATAGGAAACTAATTCAAATATTCCCCGGAAATTTCTTCCAACTTACAAAGTTCTCAAGATGATTTTGTAGTTGCCTTCCTGGTACAGCACTGCCGATGTACATAGAATTTCAAATGTTCAGACTTTATAGCAAATGTCCAACAAAATAATTAATAATTTCAATTTATTTTTATACTGTCATGTAGGTTTAAAAAATAAAAACTTGTTTAAAACACTGAATTGCCAAGGCAGGAACAATGTAAAAACACTTAGATATATATCATAAAAATTAGGACTGGTAAGTTATTGTAGTAGCTGGAGCACCTAGGTTAAAATGAAATGAAATTTATTTTGAATTTGGAACAAATAAAGAGTTTAAAAACCCTTCTATCTTTCCTTCCGATTTTTTTTTTTTAATTATTATATGAACTCTCATCATAGATAGTTCTATCTTGAAGTTCTTCTGGGATTTCTGTTTGAATTTTTCTTCGGGATTCCGATTTCCTCTAGATTGATCGCACTGCCCTCTGTTAGCAATTGACGGAATAAAGTGTAAGCGTAATTTCCGATCGATGTAACCATTAAGAACAGCAGTGACATCTGTAGATAAAGTAACGCAGAAGCATGGTAATGTGACTAATTGTGAGAAAAATTTCAGTGTATTTCAATGAGGAGTCAAGAGTAATTCTGAGGAGAATTTCGAGGGTAATTCTGAGGCCGATGCCAAGTAATTTTCAAGCAAGATTCCTAGAGTATGGATTTCTGAGAATAGGTTCAATGGATTTATGAGGAGAATGCCAAGGGATCAGAATTCTGGGGATATGGAGCTATTAAGAGAATTTCATGTTATTTTTGGACGCATCCTAAGGAGATGTTTCCAGGTGATTTTAATCTAATCTCTAATCTAATCTAATACAAACACAGCCAGTACGAGAAAGCATCCGGGAAAATGATTAGGTTAGATGAGGTCTACTCATTTTTCTTGTCTAATTGATGTTTACAGCATATCTGAGATATGATATAAACATCAATACGGCCAGGCATACTGCGTTGTATTTGCCGCAAAGATGATTCTTGGAAATGAATGGGAACACTCCATTTTGCTGGTTGTTTTCCGGATCAAATAGTGGTAAAACTGGTTGAATAAAGCGGAACTTCGGTGGTCTCACAAGCTAATCTTGCACAAAATTGGATTCTAATTTGTTTTTCGGATCTGACTCTACTTGGAATCGGAATACCGGTCATAAATGCACTTGGAAGAAACCTTCTTTCGGCCATAAAAAGAAAAACTATTCTTCAAAAAACTTATCGATTTTCAAAACTGGCAAATTATCTTCAGATAAAATTTGGAAAACCACGACGAAAAAACAGAGATGTTTCGAGGTGATTCCAACGAAAACTCAAAGGGAATCCAGAAGAAACATTCAAATAGAAATCCTAATCTAACTGCTAACGAACTCTAATGAGAGTTCACACAAAATAAAATAAAAATCTGAGGAGAGTTTAAAGTGAATCGGAAAGAGAGATTCAAGGGAATTCTTAAACAATTCTAAGAGATTCGAATTCTGTGGACAGTTCTAAGAGGAACTCTCAATAAGGTAATTCAGAGGAGATTTTCAAGGGAATACTGAAGATAATTCCAAGACTATGTGTACAAAATTCCAAGGAATCCAAAACAATCCTGAACCAACTCTGAGATGAATTACAAACTGTCATATGATATTTTAGTTTGCTACTCTACTTCGATAGCTTGTTTGGCAAGTGTCGGCAGCAAAGACAGCCGATTATCATAAAAAAATGTGTCGACTATGGTGACCGCATACAACTCTGACCAGGACTTCACGTTAATAGTTTCAAATTTTATAAAAATCATGTCTCTCGATTCCCGGGAATTTGATCCAATTTCCCAGGAAACAATTTTAGAAATGATAATTTTCTAAGCACTTTTCGGAAAAAATAAAAAAAGTCAAATCTCATGCAGGAGTTTATTCGCCAATGAATTTGCCGAGCAAAATTCAACTGCGCGAAAATCACCGAAGAGTTTAAAATTAATTGCTTCATATGTTGGTGTTATTCGTTGTTATAGGGAAAATGGCACTAATGTTGGCATATAGATCTAAGATTGGGCTTATCGCTAAAAATCTGCTATATATCAATTGTATCATTGGGACGGTACTTATGGATATTTTTGGTTGCTATTGAAAATTTTGTCGATTGCTGAATTTATGTATGGGCCCAAATTAGGGACACTTAGGCTGACATTACATACATTTCCCCTAACTGTTTTTTTTACATCAGTGGAAGGAAAACTAACACAACATGCTTTAAATTGACGTTTGAGCCGTTGTTATGAGTTTTAAGCTGGAATGGTTTGTTTACACTGTGAGAGTGAGAGCGTGAAAATGCACGAGAATCTCATGAATGAGATTTGTTTGCCATATTCACACGCAAGCTCGATCTTTCATGGAGGCTCAATGAATGAGATTTGAGAATGATTTTCCAAACACTGCTTCTAAGGAGAAAGTTTGATGAAAAGTCTGTTCCGGGAGAAGTCAGAATAATTTTCTGAGGGTAGCCGCAAAAAAAATAATCGGGAGAGGCAAGGAAAAACTTCCGACGAAATCAGAGGACATGTTCTTGCAAATCCAAAACAGATTTATCAAGGAAGTAGGAAGAAACTTCCAAGGATGTCGAAAAAACTTCTTGAGATAGTTAAAAACGGTTGAACAGAAAGTTACAATGACTGTTTTAATAAACTTGATGTTGGATGAACCTCCTAGCGGAAGTCAAAGGAACCTACCGGGGAAGCCACAAGGACCTCTGGGAGAAGCTACCGATTAAATCAGATAATTATTTCAAGGAAAATAATCATTCTAGGGATGTTTAAAAATAAACATTCTGATAAATTACTAACATGAATTCAGCTTTTTACATTTCAGGATTTCGTTCAAAAATATTATCTATACCGATTCCCGGAATTCCCGGGAAGAACAATTAGCTGATTCCCGTTTCCCAGGAAGCTTAGTTGCCTCATAACGATCAGGTTGGGGAAACTTTACCCTACTTGGTGGTGTAAGATTGCATAGATGAGCTAGCAGTTTGATAAATTAACATTTGAATCATTGTTTACATAAGCAAATACGGCTATTTCAATTGTTATCACATTTTGTATTATGAAAAGTTTTAAAATAATAAACTGAATAACATAGTGCAGTGAAATTTTCTGCATCGCCACCAATCACAAGAGATCAACTTCATAATGAAACATAGCCCTAACGTCTTACTTCCCATTCCCGCCAAATTGTTTTTCAATCAACCCCTGAACCACTTTCATCCAAGCGACATGGCCGCGTGAACGCAAATTGTTGTTTTCCAATATTATCACAATTTTTCGCATCGCTAGGAGGACTGAGATCAGAAAGATTGCAGCACCCGGGGTGGCGAGGCCGTCTGCAGGAAAGGCAATCGGCAGCAGGAGGTCTTATAGCGAACCCGGAAAAGATTGTTCGTTGGAATTTTCTACTTCGAGCGGTGGCTATTAACACTCCGAACACGATGCCTCCGGTAAAATGTGTAACTGCAAAATTGTAGCTCAGCCATTTATTGACGGATTTCAAATCTATTGAGGTCACTACAGACTTTAAAAATTTATTCTGTATCCAGAGATTTAAAATCGAT